GGAAGAATTCTTGCGTTGACTTCGCTAACGCCTCTTGGAGAGGTGGGTTAACTATATCAGTGGGAAAAACACTCTTCCATGAATGTAAGAAGCACCTATATTACAATGCTGCAGTAACACTGCAGCAGTTGTGCTGCCACAGTGTAGACTTAACCTTATTTCTGTTTAGTTCAACCTTTTCTTAAGCAATTTAAGCTAATGCTGTATCCACACAGCCTTTTGTACTGGTTTAACTAAATCTGTTTAAAAAAAAAAAAGGACCACCTTTATTAAACCAGAGCAATTCTGTGCTTAGACTAGCCTCAATTATTTCAGACCTAGTTTGCTCTATCAAGGGAAATGGGGAAGAGGAGAACAAAGGGGCCACTGAGTCACTGGCGATTGTTTAACTGACACGTCATGGGAAATATGTCAGCAAGACAAAAGTTCAACACAGATGTTATGATCTAACCTTTTAGCAACAAACATAAAATGCTGGAAATTGAGGTTAGCAATTAATTCAAAAGGAAAGGAACTATTAATTTAAGTTTAAAACGTTGAAAAGTTAGTCTACTCATATTAGGAGTTTCTTCAAAGCAAAGCAAAAAACAACCCAAGAGAAGGAAGTGCTCAAAAGAAGTCAGTGAGAGCAGAAGAGACGCAACATCTATGAAAAAAAAAAAAAAAAAAAAAAATACAGGTCCATGAGGCCAGACTGTCAAAAGAAAGTTTTACTGAGAAATGTTAAAACTTTTTACAATGAAGAGGCAACTACAGAACGTGAACCAGGAAATGTCCCAAATGGTAGCAAACTCCAATCACTGCTACATAGTTCCATAAGAACTCTACTGTTGATTGCTTGTATCTCCATCACCCACAATAGGTAAGATTCATAACCTACGTTCTACAGCTCAAAGGAAGTTGGGAACAGAGATCTAGTTTCCTTCACACAACTGTCTCCTGATATCCATTAGCACTTCATCTCTTGTTTCCTCACCTTTCAGAGCAACAAGTAGGGGGAGAGTTAATGACTTCCCTATACACCAGTCTGGGAACCGCAGACTCTAGTCAACTCACTTTGCTCATTCTGGAGTTATCCTCCTCAGCCTTCCCAACCACCACCACAAGCCTTATTAACAAGAGATCTGAAAATAAAGCCCAATCAAACGTTTGATTTTTAAATGAGACGGTTTTATTTTTCCCATTTAAACTTTTTAAAGCAACATTTCTAAATGTCAATCTGCACTTACCGCACCTTTCACCCGACAAAAGGCTCGCAAAGCACTTTACAAAGGTGAGTATTAGAGCTAATTTACCTATGGGAAACTGAGGCACAGGGAGGTTAAGTGAATTGCCCAGTATCACATGGCTAGAGTGACAAAGCCAGGAAAGAGAACCCAGGAATCTCAACTCCTAGACCCTATTCTAACTGCTAAACACTCCCTCCCACATCATGCTTACATTTTTGAATTTATAACCATGTGTCACAAGTAAACCACTATCGTTATTTAAATTGACAATACAAATCAGTTCAATATGTTGCTATTCAATACTTTGTGCACTGCATATCTTTGCAATCACCATCACAGTAGGAGTCACGCCACACAGATTTTACAGCACTTCCAAATTAGCTTCATAAGAACATTGTCACACAGACTAACTGCAGTCCTTCAACCAGATTTTAAAAAGGTTAATGATAATTGCAATGTACCAAGCTGGATGTAGCACCAGGATGAGCACTGCTGAGTCAAGATGAAGTTCATTTTCATTTGACATCTTTGTACATTATGTAGAATGTGGGTGGTGGGGCAGGAGGAGAAAGAAATCAGAGCATTAAAGAAACTGGGAGGTGTTGCAAACACCAGGGAGAACTGAGAAACAATAAGATATCTAGAAACATTAGAAATAAGGGCATGAGATATATGCAAAAAAAAGAAATTCAACTTGAAATAAATACATTTAATACTCTGGGAAATGAAAACTAGATCACAGCTGGAGGGAAGAAGATACTTGAGGTGATAGTGGACAGTAAATTAGACAGGAGCTTGTAATGTGATGGGGGGGGAGGGAAAGAAAAAAAAAGTGATTCAGGGCTACACCCAGAGCAAAAAGGTTATGTCCTCATCTCTAAAACTCTGATGTGAACTGTATTCAGCTCTAAGCAATCCAATATCAGCACTCACTATTGACAAACAGGAGGACATTTGGGGGGAGGGGGGAGTGATAAAGTCACAGAAGGGATTGATTTATGAAGAAACATTAAAGTAGCTACATGTGTAATTTGGCTAATGACAACTAAGATGGACACATTAACTGCCTACAATTATTTGAAGAGTGAATGCCAATGAGGGAGACGGAGCATTGTACAAGTAGGTATAACCAAGAATAATGGCACAAATTTAAGGCAAAACTTGGCTAAGTATAAATAAAGTTGTCAAAAGTGAAATCTGTTAGATGCAGGAATAGTCTCCTCAAAGAAACCCTATTGCTGGAGATATTTACAACTGATTGTCTCAAGAAAATCTAGAATGGAATAATCCTGCACTGGCCAGTGAGATGGACCAGATATCCTGAAAGGTATTTTCCTACTCTAACTGTTATGATTAAACAGCATAAATAAATTGAGAGAGAGAAAATGTATCACCGGAAATAGAGAAAATTTGACATTCCCCAAATGTCTTTGCTTGAGTACAACTGTGAAAACTGAACAAATTTTTATAATTCAGTGGCCCTCCAGGTTTTGTAAACTAGGATTCTGTGAACAGGATAGCTTCATCCAATGCCTGTTTGTTCACTGTTTTGAAACAGAATGGTGTTTGAAACAGTGGTTTTCCACCACTCTACTCCCAATCAGATTCTGGGCTTAGAAATAATTGGTCCAAATGAAGAACCATCTCTTTAAAAAAAAGAGGCTTCTGCAGACACAAGTACAGTTAACCATATGTCAACAAACTTTGCATCTACATTTCTGGCTTGTAACTTCCATCAATTCAACCTTCTTTTTGGGCACTAACAGCAAAAAAGCACTTCAGTGATGGTTAAACTACAGCCATGAAACTGATTATGGTTGGCCAGAATGATAAATGCTTAATATGTATTCATATGATAGCAGTCAAATACAATTTCTTTTCTCTCTTTAAAAAAAAAAAGGAAAAAAGGGAGGTTAACCCTGCTAGTAACCAGATTCCAACTCGGGCAATTATATTCTACCCCCATAAAATCCCCTTTGTTCAAGTGATGAAGTTATTCTTAATTTGTGCCAAATCACTGTTTTATAGAATTGGTGGTTCAGAATAGCTGCTGCATTCTACACCACAAGCGTCTATATTTTAGTAAACGGGCGATAACTATATTTATACAGTTTGTAAAGCACCATGCAATCCTTTTGGCTAGTGCTATTGGTTATGGTTAACAATGTGCTTGATGCTGTACCAGACAAGCTGAAGAAAGTCCCTACCCCATAGAACACAATGATGAAACAAGACATGCTGAGGAGCCCAGAGAAAGTATACATATCATTTTATCCCAGTAATATATTCATAGAAAAATGTAGTCTTTAGAATGGACCTGAATATGGAGACGGTAGCTACTTGGTAAACCAGGATAGAGATGACATTCCATACATAGAAAGCAGCATGGAAAAAGGTTATGGAGAATGGAAAGAGGTTATGAAGGATGGCAGTAGTACTCAACTGGATTTCATGAAGGGTGTACATTACAACAGAGTCTGGTCTTAAAAATTTAAGTTTATTTGATTAATCTATGTTGATTTTATACGCATCACCAAGAATTTTTATTGTCATGTAACATTTCATGTAAGAAAAGTCAAACCTGTTGGTTTTTTTCTTTTAGGGTAAGGAGAGAAAATGGGGCCCAATTAGTTTTAGCAATAAAGAGGAAACCCTTTTGACAAATAAGCCCGTTTGTTTAATAGTTCTAGTTTACTAGAAACTGTCACCTATTCTACCACAGTATGTAAGTGAAAAAAGCAATTGTGCAGTAATGGATTAAACACTCATTGCTTCTACAAGTTCTCAAAGTTTGGACTTTGGGAGCCCAACAGTGAGAAGCAACAATTATTTAAGAAACTATATCTATATATAGCCCCCTCGTGGGAAGTGTATTGGAAGGGGATGACTCCTCCCATCTCCAGGCAAGTTAAATCAGTTACTCTAAACATCAATAGGGTAAAAACTTAATGTTTAAATTGCACAATATATATTTTTTCTTAAATAATTGTTGTTACACACACACAAAGATTGTGCAATTTAAACATTAAGTTTTTACCATACTGATGTTTAGAGTAACTTGCCTGGGGATGGGGGGAGAGAAGTCAACTCCTTCCAATATACTTCCCAGAAAGGGGCTGTTAAAGAGTTACTCCCACTACATCTAGTCTCAGCGTTACCCACCCTACTCCTAGACCCCGTCAAGTTGTTTTTGTGACACCCCCAATCTACCAATCCCATGAGCCCTCTCCCCCCCCCCCGAGCCTACAGTCTCCCTAACTCACCCATTTTAACTAGAGAGCCCCAAGCCCTTACCCAAGCCAGGATCTCCCTACTGCACTCTCCATAGCCCACCTGCTGACCCAGAACGGCCCTGCTGCATAGGGCCCCCCATAATCCCCATCCACACAGCCCAGAACCCCTTCTCACCACGGGGGCCTCTGATAACCCCCCAAACCAAAGCACTCAGGGGCCCCCACCGAGGAGCCCAGGACCCTTCACATACACATCCCCCACCAGCTGTCCGCGGCCGGGCCCCCTCCCCCCAACCAGCCACCGCCCGGGCCCCTCGGAGGCTCCAGCAACCCTGAGCACCGCCCATCCCTGAAGGGGGCGTGCTCCACATCATTCCCGGAGGCTGTTGGTTGCGGCGCCCATCACTCCGAGCCGCCCGGCGTACCGATTGGCCGAAGAGCTTGTCACTCACGGAAGGGGCCGGTACTCTCACGAAAACTCGGGGAGATGGGGGGGCCCATCAGCTACTCCAGGGGGATAGCGGAGAGCCTCGCTCACCTCGAGACCGGGGGGCACACGTGGGTTGCCTCAGGTCCGCACCTCTACCTTATGCTGGCTCCGGAATCTCGCGCTGGCTCCGACCCTCCCGAGCTGTCCCTGGGTCTCGCGCTGGGTGCCCCCTCCCTACGCGCGATAGTCTCGCGAGACTTCCTATAGGGCGGGGCATGGAACAGAGAGAACCAATCATCAGCCGGGATGTGTGCCAAAGCGGAGGGGTGGGCGTTGCCCCCAAGAGGCAGTGGGTGGAACGTGCCCGCCCTCTCTGCCTTCCTCAGAGGGGGGCGTTACTGGACGGGCCATCACAGAAAAGACAGCGACAGAGTCTCCCCCCCACCACCACTGAGGGACATTGACAGAGCCCCCCTCACCCCTGAGGGGCAGTGAGAGAGACCCCCTCACCCCTACCCTCTAGAGGAGACATGGACAGAGCCCCCCCCCATAACCACCACTGAGGGGACATTGACAGAGCCCCCCCATCACCCCACCACTGAGGGGACATTGACAGAGCCCCCCATCACCCCCACCACTGAGGGGACAGTGAGAGAGACCTCCTCCAGAGGAGACATGGACAAAGCCCCCCATCACCTCCACCACTGAGGAGACATGGACAAAGCCCCCCACCACTGAGGGGACATTGACAGAGACCCCCTCACTCCCCACCACTGAGGGGATAGTGACCCCACTGCTCTCTGTTCCCCAGATTTCAAAGAGAGGACAGCAGACAAACTCCCAGCACATGCACAGTGTGTGTCTTCACACCAGCACTCTTCACACACCCCACTTTGTAGATAGTTTAGAGACAATGACTAAGTTGTCTATAAAGAACTAGCTAGCGTACATGTTCTTTCTATCTACTTCCACTCTCTACTGGCTGGAAATTGACCTATTTAGCTGTGTGTCATCAGCCCTATACTGCTACTGTCAATTCCCTCTTGAAAGAAGTGGTAGAGGCTTGTGTTTTTGGAGCATAAGATCTGGATTCTGTTCCCCTTGTTGCAGTGTCCACGGTAAGCACCAAACCTGACAGCCATGAAGTCCTAGGTTTGTTACAATGCTTGTCAATTACTGTAATTCCTCTTGGATACCATTGATAACAATACAGCACCATGTAACTTGCTGGTTATTCAAAGCAACCCCTCCTTGCAAAAGAGATGTTTGGAAACTAAGCCACCCAAGATGCATAAATGTGTGTTTGCTCCTAAGTAGTTATCACCATTTGGGATGTTGCCAGGTTGTTCCCATTAGGAAGACAAATGAATAACTTGAGTCAGGTCTATTCTTTGTGTATATTCTTTGTAAATAAACAGGTTTGAACTAAGTTCTGCTTTGCTGAACAGAGTAGCAATAAATAACAGAAGGCAGTTTCCAAGCTTGACTCTCCAGACAATCCTGTGCCTCAAGGCTTATTGCCTCTCACACACACAGCTTGCCACTTGCTCCTGTATTTGTAACCAGGGAACTCCCCCCTCCCCCGATCAGAAGCTCAATTCTGCTCAGGCTTCACCATGTGACCAGTGCCTTGGGCAGTAGCCTGGTATTGTTTCTAGATATCACTACATAAAGGGACTTAATTGCTCCTTCCGTTCAGACTGAATGAAGAGTGCTTTGCATACCCACTGGCTTTGACCAGGTCTGTGATTGTCTGTATATGAGGGACCCTCTTGATGGCAGCCATTAACACCTTCCAGCATGAAACATGGAAAAGTCAATGATGTAGCAGATATGCATTTTGGGCCAGGGACAGTTTTATTGGTCTGTGTTTGTACAGCGCCGAGCACAATGGAGTCCTGGTCCCTGACTGGGGCTCCTAGGCACTACTGCTATACAAATAAATAATAATCTTAGCATTTTAGGAACATGCAGTATGAAAGCTGGGCACTGGGACCTCTTGAGAAGCAGCATGATCCAGTGGATCAGGTACTAGACTGGGAATCAGGAGACATGGGTTCTATTCTTGGATCTGTCTCTGACCTGCTGGGTGACTTTGGTCAAATAACTTCCCCTCAATGACTCTGTTTCCCCTCCCACCCTTTGTTTTGTCTAATTAGATTATTAACTCCCCTGAGCGTCTGATAGTTAAACCAACCTAAGCATCAGTATAGGCACAGCAAGGTCAATGAAAGAATTGCTCTGTCAACCTAGCGACTGCCAGTCAGGTAGAGTATTACCTATCGATGGAAAAACCCCTTCCATCAATGTAGGAAGCATTTACACTAGAGCGACATAGCTACACTGCTATAGCTGTGCCGCTGTAATCCTCATAGTGTAGACATGGCCACAGTATCAGTTGCCAGGACAAGAGGTCGTTCTCAAACCTTTTTATTGGTGACCCCTTTCACATAGCAAACCTCTGAATGTGACCCCCCCCCCTTGTAAATTAAAAACACTTTTTAATATATTTAACACCATTATAAATGCTGGAGGCAAAGCGGGGTTGGGGTGGAGGCTGATAGCTCATGACCCCAAATGTAATAACCTCGTGACCCCCAAGGGGTCCCGATCCCCAGTTTGAGAACCCCTGTCCTAAACCACATATTTCTCAAACACACCAGTGAAACTCAGAGAGACAAGGTGGGTGAGGTAATATCTTTTATTGGACCAACTTCTGTTGGTGAGAGAGACCAGCTTTCAAGTTTACACAGAGCTCTTCTTCTCTAATATTGTGGGACCGACACGGCTACAACACTGCATACTGTGAAACTCAGTCGTTTAATCCAGTGGTGCCTAACTTTATTACATAGGAGGGCCACATAAACCTAAGCACAACCTTGTGTGGGCCAAACAGATTCTATATTTTAATAAGATTTAAAGTCACCTGTATTGATTTATATTTTAAGTTCAGCTTGTTTTGTATGTATTTAGATAGGTTGTTTCTATGTACAGTATTGTCTATTTACACACTTGTGTAAACTAAAATGATGTAAAGATGACGACAAAACGCTAATGAATTGGCTGTTAGTATATTGTGTTGAAGCAGGCTGTGGGCCTTATGAAATGCTTTGGTGGGCCATATACGGCCCGCAGGCCGTAGATTGGACACCCCTGAATGTAGATGGGATATCTTACTGCATGTCAGGAGCTACCGGAAATTGCTTATCTCAGACAAGAGAAAATCTTGTTCTAAGCAGGACCAGAAAATTAGGCCTGTCTTTGGGGCAGAATAAATCTGGGAATCCTAAGTAACCTCAGGCAAGTCTACTTTAAAACTCCATTTATATAGGGAAGCATCAGAGATGGAGCTAACAGTTTTGTCCCACCTAGAACACACCCACACCAGGAGAAAAGAGATAAGTGGTTAGCTCCCAAGTATGGGTTAATATTCTTTTAGGGTCTGATTCACTGTTGTCCTGACTTAATACAAAATGGGGGTAAAATGCTACCAGATCGGAGTGCTGTTTTCCACTGTTGTAAACGAGTGTACAAAATACAGCGCAATAAGGGATTATCAAGGTAATTGTGTGGCCCTCTCACCATAACATCTGGGCAACCATTAATGGATTTGATCCTCACAGATCCAATTCTACACATGAGAAAACTGAAGTGAGTGGTTAAATGACTTGCCTAAGGCCATGCAGAACACCTGTGACTAAATTGGGAATTTAACCCAGATCCAGTGTCTTGTTTACCAGAGCCTACCCTGCGTGCATTAGAGAAATATGCATCATTATAACTACCTCAGTGCAAATTGCCAATGTAGAATTGTGCAGAGTTACTCTCACAGGGCTGGTTTGTAGAAGGTTTGTAACCATCAGAGGAGTGATGTTCTGGAACAGTTTCCCAGGAGGAGCAGCGGGAGCAAACCAGTTGACTAGTTTTAAGATGGAGCTTGATGAAGGTCCGAATAGGATGATATGATGGGGTTGCTTGCAATAGCAAGGAACTGGACTCTGTGATCCAGGAGGAGGTCCCCTCCAGACTAGTCCTATGTTTTACACTGATTTGACTTAACCCAGCAGTCACTGGAGTAAACTAACGACTGAGGGAATATTTTGTTCAGATGAAAGGCAGGAGAGAATCCAGCAGGAAGGAACAATCCATGCTGACTATAAAACCCCTTACGAGTTAAACAAATTCCTCTGCAATCCCTGACCATTCCTATCTCATAGAACTGGAAGGGACCTGAAAGTTCATCGAGTCCAGCCCCCTGCCTTCACTAGCAGGACCAAGTACTGATTTTGCCCCAGATCCCTAAGTGGCCCCCTCAAGGATTGAACTCACAACCCTGGGTTTAGCAGGCCAATCAGCGCTGTGTGCGTGTAAACACAAGAGAAATTGTATGCCCTGACCTTAGAGTGCAGAAGAGCACGGCGGTGCCTTTGCCACATCTATGTTTGCAGCTGCGAGTTGGAAAATGGTGCACAAGAGTGGCTGATTATGGGATGGAACAGGGAGAATTGCGGGCATTTGGTACCAGATCCCCACTATTCTCTGAGACGCGCCTGGGTATCCTCCAATGCACAGGGACAGTTTCCATAAGGGGCATGTCTGAAGGCCTCACAGAGGACAGTGAGATGCCTACCCACAGTGCACCACGCCTTTCACCATTACAACTTGGTTTCCTATGGACAGAATATGCTGTCACAAACAGCCAAAAAATAGTTTTGTGGGGTCACTGTAATCCACAGCAATTCAGTGCACCACTCTGTCCCCACTTTAGTGGTGCCTGAGCCACATGCAGAGAATCTTAGAATATTAGGGTTGGAAGAGAGGTCATCAGGAGGTCATCTAGTCCAACCCCTTGCTCAAAGCAGGACCAATCCCAACTAAGTCATCCTAGCCAGGGCTTTGTCAAGCTGGGCCTTAAAAACCTCTAAGGATGGAGATTCCACCACCTCCCTAGGTAACCCATTCCAGTGCTTCACCACCCTCCTAGTGAAATAGTGTTTCCTAATATCCAACCTAAACCTTCCCCACTGCAACTTGAGACCACTGCTTCTTGTTCTGTCATCTGCCACCACTGAGAACAGCCGAGATCCATCCTCTTTGGAACCCTCCTTCAGGTAGTTGAAGGTTGCTATCAAATCCCCCCTCACTCTTCTCTTCTGCAGACTAAATAATCCCAGTTCCCTCAGTTTCTCCTCGTAAGTCATGTGCCCCAGCCCTCTAATCATTTTCGTTGCCCTCTGCTGGACTCTCTCCAA